ATCATCGAGGATTCGGTTATTCTATGAATATATCCGACCCCTTTCAAAAAGAACACTCCATATCTCACATACCGTCTTGGACCGGTTTCCATATGAAATAATCCGTGGTTACAGGATGTTCGGCGCTACGTTAGAACTTCCTAATTGTAAGCAACTTATACAAGTTCAAAACAGAGGTTACTAAGCGATTGGGGTATTAGGAGAGGAGGCACAGAAATGGTTCAACGAAATAACTAAGGAATCGGGGTTTGTCAGCTTGAAGCTAAGAAAGCCAGATCACTGGTTATCAAGATACGAAAATTTTTNATTTTTTAATCTGGTGTTAATTTTTTATCAGGTATCAGGTGACATAAATTTGGGTTTCTTCCGTTCCTTCTTCAACTCTTTCTGCATCATCTCTTCTGTTTATCCGTCACAACTAGTTCCTTTTTTCTCTGCCTATATTGCCGTTCATTGTACAATCATTGCATCTCCTCCAGGGCCATTTAGCTCTTCTCTAAATCACGACCGACTAGCTGTTGCTTTGTTGAAGAAATGTAAGACTCAGCGTTACAGTTAAGGTCAAAGTTACGGAGACGATTATGCGCAAAAAATCTGTCTCCATGATCCGGCTACTCTTCTTTTTCTCGAAGTTTGACTGACTGGAAGGAGCCCCTCATTGCATCTGAAATTGAGAAAAACAAACAACTTTGGATGGGGAGCCAAAATCCCAACTTTTAGATTACATTATTGACAAATATAATCTTCCGAACTTAGTTGTGCGAATCTGGGGGCATTATCTCAGCTAAGGGGCCGAGGGGCTGGAGGTCAGACTTTGTCTTACGAAACAACGACCGTTGGTTGGACTGTCAGAAAAGCGCGCGCACACGCACATACTACCGACATAGTGGTTACCCAGTCAACAAGATCCAATAGACTGACCAAATATTGAGTGTAGGTTTGCTTCGAACGAGGAAAACAACAAGTAACCTGACAACACACTCCCCTTATTTCCCTCTTGACGACTGACAGTTGGAAATAGCTAATTCAATTTATTCGAGCAGGAATCATACGGCTAGTTGACAATTCTCCGAAGAAGAAGAAAACGTGCATTGACCTTGAGCATACATACAGACATACATACACAAACACACTGCGTGGAGATGAGGCATGAATGTGAGGTTAGCAACGGAAATGCAGCTGTTTCCCTTCCCTCTGATCTTCCCTATCTCGCACGCGCTCTGTTTCTATTCGGCACGTACTGCTCAGTGTTCTTGTTCTCCCTCATACATCACCACTTTCATGTCCGGAGAGCGGTAGGGTTGAGGTAGATGAGTAGCGGGTTACCATGGTACCAGTAGGTGTCATTCAGCACATAAGTTATTTATTCCTCTCATACTCCAGCAACTGCAACGAAGCCGCGCGCACATACCGCATGCAAATGATGGGTGTTCGTACCAATGGCGCCAAGACATATCATCGGTGTTTGCCAATTTTATGCGGTGATCACGAGACGGGAAACAGAGAGGGAGAAGGGAATCGAAAGTTAAGGATTTGAACGCATAAACCCACACTCATTTAGTGCGTAAATTAGTTTTCTGAGGTCAGTCTTGTTGCCGTGATGGGCAACTATCTCAATTGGGCTGACATACATTCATTAACACGTACCCGCGGGAGTGAGAGAGAAAAACAAGGATTTTTCGTGTTCGATGCATTTCTCGTTCACCGACAGATATGTGACGGTTTTTAGTCAGCTCAGTTCACATTTGTATTATTGTCTGCGGTCACAACTATTATTCCTGGGCACCTAAATAATACTTCATAGAAAGTTGTAGTGTGAGGGTTTTGTTTGCTTTTTGGTTAATGCTGTGATTTTTCTCTCTCCCCCTGACTCCGTGGATCGAATACGTGATTGTTCTGTTCTGGTCAGTGTTATTCACTGCTGCTCCGATCTATTGACTAATATCAATCTATATCAATCTAATATCAATCTAACACTTGCAGCGGTCCCGAAATCTTTCTCTCATAGTCTATGTGGCTGAAATGAAGAATCGATTCATCATTGTTATTTATCCCGGTGTTACTGCGATTGTTGAACAAAGCATTTTTGCCTACCACAAAATCTTATCATTTTATGGGCGAACACTGGTTCATCCTTCAGCCACTTGACCGCTTTGCACAATGAACCAATGCATACAATTACCCGTCCACGCGGAAACACTAATCTAATTAGGTGAACTATAGCAAAGTTTGATCATTGATTTGTCCAATCATCATCATGCCGTTCGCTGACCGGTTAGGAGGCCGCACCTTCTGGACTTATTTTTCTGGATGGTAAGCTTTACTTCCCGCTGGCGTGATACCACTTGAGCTTCTTCACTCTGCCTGTCTGTCCTGTACCACAGTGTAATCTCTAGCTGGGTTTGCTCTCTGGTGCTCTCGTTTGATGCACACTGAAAGTGAATTCGTAAACGAGGTAGATATATTCGAGGTTTTGATTTGGGATAGTTTCCGATGAATCGTGTGCGAAATCATAAAACCATGTCACCGTGTCATGTACTATTTTAAACTCGCTTGAAATTGCCGATTGTGTACACGTTTTGAGGGAGCACAACTCACTGCCTTCTCGTGGTGGAGATGTTTTCCCACCAAAGGGAAAGGACAAAAAGTCAATATCCGGGCCATAACCGAGGCGGTGAACCACTGGTAGTTCATCTAGGGGAGTTGGCTAAAAAGCTTGGTGCCAAGACAACCAAGAAGAGACGTACCAACCACACACAACCCCACATTCTTGGTTGTGGCATTGGTCACCTGCTCGATCGGGCATCGAGATGTATTGGGCACCCTGGACGTTTGACCTGGTCCGAAGGGTGTATGATCCGTTGAAACTGGATACCGGCCCCCAATGGATTGCGGTTTTCGCACACCATACCACTGCTTTGCTGGTCAGGCTTTGGTTAACCGAAGACCCCGGTTGTGAATTCCCCAAGGAAAGTCACCTGCCTTGGCGTGAGCAACCTGGCAGTATTCCTCCCAAATGGAAATCACGAAACTTTTTTCTCTTTATGAAGGTTATTCTGTGTTTTGCTTGGCACACAGTCTGGTCTCAGAAGTTTGTGAAATACGCAAGTGTTGATACCGATTTCCTGCAACATGGCTCTCCATAGAGAAACATTTTCGAGTTTTCACAATCATACTTCCACTTCGATAGGCAGGTGCTTAAATAACATCTGTTTTGAACTTTATTTTCCCCCGGAAGCTATTTAATTCCCTTGTATCACTATTTGAATCGACCCGACCTTAGTTGACATAAAATGTATAGTAGTTTGCAAGTTACAGCGCAAAGTAAGAAAACGTTTGATGTAGTACAGAATGAGAGCTCATTCTTTCTAATAAGACAGTATTGTTCCATGAGGATTTTTATTTTGATCAGTCTGATTGATTTAAACAGCATTTATTTTTCTATACAACACAAAGTAAGTGGTAAATCATAATTTTTGATCATAATTAGTTCGAAGAATGATGTGCCAACTAATTTCCCCGTTAAGATAATGCTCCCTGTGTTATCTCTCACAAGGTTTGTGATAGAAATCATTCAGGCATTATTATTATGCTCTGTTTTACGTGATATTAGTAGAGGACTTGATTTATTGATATAGTTAATTTCGTCGAGAAGCATGAGCTAAAAAACCAGGAAGCGCTGTTTCGACCTGATTGGGTTTCATGGGTTGTGCTAATCCATCGACCCGATTGGGGATTAAACTCGGGATCTCACAGGCAGAACGCATGCATACTAACCACTCGGCCACCGTGCAGCTAATCAGACCGTTTTCTATTTTGCCTATACACGATAGAAGACAATCCATCTCTGCCAACTTTTCTCGGGCATTACACCTCACTCATCTCAGCACTCGCTTTCAGGGTTATCGGTTGCTTGCAAACGTTCCAAACCTTCTTACTGGTTACATGGGAACCACAGAGGATTTGATTCGATTATACGGTGATCATCAGTTGGGCCGATGAATTCACACTACCGATGAGATTCAACCAGGTCGAAACAACCGTCCAGTGCTTCCCAGTTTTTCTGTTCACGCTTCCTTTACTCTGTACGCAGCGAAAATACCACATATATATTTAGACAGTTTCTGGATTAGAGAGTTCTAAAGTCGAATTGATTCAGTTACCGCTTTAAAGTTCGGATCTGAATCCAGTGTAAAGCGGTTTGTTTCTATTAAGACAGATATAAGTCGGCTACCTCGGGAGTGGGTGTTGGAGACGAGGGTGCGATATGTACTAAAGACAACTGAGAAATGCGATCTGGTTGCCGAACTGGTGGATTCTATGCCAAAACGACTGGTCCAAGTGCTCACGAGTGAAGGAGAGAACACTGATTATTGAGACGATGAAAATGCTTTAGAACTGAGTCATACTTATCACTCATTTTGATAACTAAATATTGATTCTTTTTTCCCATTGGCTTAGGGTTATCTTGCAACTGATACACCACCAACCGTCATCCAAATCAATAAATCATACTTTTATAAGACATTTGAATAAAAGGGAGCACAATATAAGTGGATTCTACTACATATATGTTGAGTTTTTGTTATACCATATCCATTCTCATGAATGAAGCTCAAAAGGTTAGGCATTGCAGATCGCAAGGTCTTAAGGTCTCGATCAATACCGATATATAGAACCTGAACCGTCTGGTGTTCGAACCCACGAGGAACGAGCAACTACAAACCTAACAAGTTACCCACTTTATATGGTTGTGAGGGTGGGATGGAGTGGGTGAGATTTGAAGGGGGAGGGTGGGAGAATCCAATAGAAACAAAACCAGAAAATAGGGAGCTACGTAAGCAATCTGATGGGCACCGCTCTAAGAATTACATGGCGGATGATCGTTAAAAGTGTGACATTCACAGGTGGAGAGGATGTTTCTGATTCAATCGATTGTCTCTCGCGCTAATCCCGAATTAGCTATTCCAATACGGCCATCTCTCGCCATCGCCGGTAGCAGTAGTAGTAGCTCCCTTTTTGATTATATCGATGTTTTATTTTTATGTTTGGTTCATTTTTTTGAGATTTATTCTAACTGTGACGACACACCGTCGCTTCACACACCAAAAATGTTTTCAAGAAATGCTCACTGTATCTCGTTTTTTACACTTAACTGCAGAGTAAGATTGACTGATTCAAAATTAGCTCACAGAATCCCACATGAAAACATTTAGGAGATGAAGCCTTCCTACTCATGAGTAGTAAATCATGCCTTGACATTTGAATTGACATATTTCAATTGTATTTTTCTGTTACTATTTATCAGACCAAAACAAAAGTTGATGTGACTAAACTTGCTTATTGATATCATACTTTCGTTACATTCTGTAGAGTTTTGTGATAAATTAATTGAAATGGAGAGAAAAGTATTCTTTTAGAAAGAATTATTTATAACCGACTCGTGGTAAAGCACGACAACTCATCGCTTCCTCTGTTCCCTTTTCTTTATGTATGATACCGGTCTCAAGGTCCGGAACATAGATGATGAACCCCCACAAATCAAAATTGATTATGCGAGTGGATCGAATCAAAAGTACAAAGAAATCACCGAGAACTCAGCCAGTTCGTTCTTTGTCGCTTTTGTCACCGTCTCCGATCCGGATGTGGACAGCGAGTTGGCCAAAATGTCCATACACCGAGGCTCCAGCGAACTGAATGCGTTCGCCGATCCAGCCAACTACGGATCACATACGGTCACATCACTAAACGCGCTCGGT